TTTGGATGTCAGTCCCTTTGGAACTTGTGTCCTGGGTGGATTTGTAGGGATCCCAGTGAGTCTTCAGACCTGTTTGCTCATTGCAGGATCCCTCTAGCCCTGGGATAAAGCAAGAGTGCTAGGCCTGAGAGCCGCAAGTGTCTTTTTAAAGACTAGCTATAAACCTTAAATGCCTGGAAGAAGTGCAGCAGTGGAGGAGACAGAGGGAACTATACCTGCCTGGAAGAAGGGCCAAGGAGGCAGAGGGGACTATACCCGCCTGGAAGAAGGGCTGGGGCGGAGGAGGCAGAGGGAACTATACCTGCCTGGAAGAAGGGCGGAGGAGGCAGAGGGAACTATACCTGCCTGGAAGAAGGGCGGAGGAGGCAGAGGGGACTATACCTGCCTGGAAGAAGGGCGGAGGAGGCAGAGGGGACTATACCTGCCTGGAAGAAGGGCGGAGTAGGCAGAGGGGACTATATACCTGCCTGGGAGGAGGCAGAGGGGACTATATACCTGCCTGGAAGAAGGGCGGAGGAGGCAGAGGGGACTATATACCTGCCTGGAAGAAGGGCGGAGGAGGCAGAGGGGACTATACCTGCCTGGAATAAGGGCGGAAGAGGCAGAGGGGACTATACCTGCCTGGAAGAAGGGCGGAAGAGGCAGAGGGGACTATATACCTGCCTGGAAGAAGGGCGGAGGAGGCAGAGGGGACTATATACCTGCCTGGAAGAAGGGCGGAGGAGGCAGAGGGGACTATACCTGCCTGGAATAAGGGCGGAAGAGGCAGAGGGGACTATACCTGCCTGGAAGAAGGGCGGAAGAGGCAGAGGGGACTATACCTGCCTGGAAGAAGGGCGGAAGAGGCAGAGGGGACTATACCCGCCTGGAAGAAGGGCAGAAGAGGCAGAGGGGACTATACCCGCCTGGAAGAAGGGCTGGGGCGGAGGAGGCAGCGGGAACTATACCCGCCTGGAAGAAGGGCTGGGACGGAGGAGGCAGAGGAGACTATACCCGCCTTGAAGAAGGGCTGCAGCGGAAGAGGCAGAGGAGACTATATCTGCCTGGAAGAAGGGCGGAGGCAAAGGGAACTATACCTGCCTGGAAGAAGGGCTTGGGCGGAAGAGGCAGAGAGGACGATACCTGCCTGGAAGAAGGACTGCTGCAGAAAAGGGAAAGGGGACGATACCTGCCTGGAAGAAGGGCTGCTGCGGAAGATGCAGAGGGGACGATACCTTCCTGGAAGAAGGGTTTAAGTGTTTGAGGCAGAGAGGATGACACCTGGCTGGAAGGATAGCTGCAGCCTGGTTGGATGGAAAATCTCCAGAAGGACCCCAGTCAAGCTTCGGCGCCTTGGGCTGAAGCTTTCCAGGGTCCCTGCAGGCGGCTAGGAAGCGGACTTAGTGGAGGTATTCAGTCGGAGTACAGGAGCTCTGTCATCTTGCACTCTAAGCAAATCTGAAAAAATCCCTATAGCATATCCAAGCAAGTACAAGTTTAATAGTGAATTACGAAAACATAGCTAAAAAGAGAGATCCCATACATGCTAGAAAAACCTAATATAAAAATAAGTCCATACACCTGTAAGAAGGAAGGTGGGGGAAAAAAACCCCCAAAAATAATTCTAAAGGGACACTGGACGCATTTCGCGTCTAGCACAAACGTTTTTTGTAGCTTGTTAACCCCTTAAGGACCAAACTTCTGGAATAAAAGGGAATCATGACATGTCACATGTCATGTGTCCTTAAGGGGTTAAAGTGTCTGTCCAAACTGCCTTGCCTGTGCTGTCAAAGTTGGTGTTCTCTGTTGTGATCATTGCACTACTGTATTCAATGCTCTGATGGTCCTTACCAAGAGTAGGGATCCAGACATTTATGTGCACGTATTAAATTAGTTGTGGAGAGGAGAGGCCTCACTGTTCAGTGAGATGTGCGTGTAAGCAGTGAGACGCTGTGTCCTAGTTATGTTTCTCCTGTTGTTTAGGATCATGTGGTTGTGAAGAAATCCAGTGACTGTGTGTTAGAAGGATCTCACAGCACCGTGCCTCCACCTCGCTCACTGCTACAAATGAGAAACAATGAGCAGAAGATCCTGGAATTGACCAATAAGATCATCCACCTGCTGACTGGAGAGGTGAGGCTGCTGGGAATGGGACTTCATGGAGTAAAACCAAGGGATGTGTCTGGATGGTGACTGTATCACTGTGTGTTTGTATAAGGTGTGAGGACGTCATCATCTTTGTTTCCCTGTAGGTTTGGCAGTATTTAGATGGACACAAGGAATCTCACAGTGATGTGATATTGGAGAACCGCCAGCCAGTCAGCTCACTGGGTAAGAGGATTTAATAATATGAATTTCATGGAATAACTAATATTCTGATGATTACATGTCGTCGTGTGTGTGCTCTCTGTGATGTTGTTGGTGCTGGGTGTCTGTCCTGTGGATACCTTGATGAATACGAAGTGTACATGTGAGGGATAGCTGTTGTGACTGACTTCCAAGAAGGTTTAGTTTTCAGACACTGTTTGTATAATTGAGCATTACATGGTTTAAAACAGAACTGTCCATTGTTTGTCACACTGTTGAGAAAAAATATAAATTGAAATTTTCCTGTAATATGCCTTCCTTTCAGGTGATGCTCAGTTTTCTTGTAAGAATAAGTAACTGTCGTAACAATTCAGGTCAGTCTTCAGACAGGGCACACAATACACTGGGAGAGTAGAGATGGGTTTCGTTTCAAAGGTTTGTGATATGAAAAGAGGTGGCGTCATCAATAGATTGTTCGTTGCTCGTTTCCATGGTGATTTGCGCACTTTTCAGAGCACGACACTTGTTATACATAAACCCATTATATTGGTTTCTCCGCCTTTCTCTCTGCTGACTGACAGGTGTAAAGACTGACTGTGAGCCAAGATGGAGACATCGAGATCCAGAATACAGGAAACTACAGCAATAGGATTTTCTACATTAAATTACATTTTTACAAACAAGATTCTGGTAAATGTAGGGATGAAGAAGTCCATAATAATTTACAGTTTTATTTATTTGTACTTTTTGTGTTCACAGAGCAAATGGGGTCAGGAAGAAAGATGTCCTTAAAGGGACCATCCAGGCATTAGTACAATTTAACTACATTTGATAGATTTAGGGGTCATTAACCCCTTAAGGACCAAACTTCTGGAATAAAAGGGAATCATGACATGTCATGTGTCCTTAAGGGGTTAAAATGCTATATTTTTTGCATGTTCAAATATTTATAGCTTTGGTACAAAATAATTTTTTCATCAAGCTGCACATAAGCCTCCTTAGCCACGCTCCCCCATGCTAGAAGTGAGCTGCTTTTAATTCACAACCTGGCTGCAGACAGTCAGAGAAACTACAAACCCGTAGTGATATCCTTACTATACATCTCCATAGGTGTCCTGTCCTTCTAATGCAGGTTGCTTTGTAGTTGAAATTATTCAGTACTGTCAGTGGCTGAATTGTGTTTAAGTGTGTGACGGACCGCCTGGCACTCAGACCGAGTACCTCTGTCAATCGCTGTTTCCTAGTACTTGCAAGTACCATAAGCACCGCACTGGAGCACCATAACCACCGTAACCCCCACGAACTGCCGCAGCTTGGTTGGGGTCTCGCTGTACTCCACCTACCCTGAACCCAAGACCAGGATCCAGCTTCCAGTGGGTAGACCTCTCCTAGTCCAGGGAGTGAGGCAGGCTGCTCTTACAAGAGCAATCGTTGTAATCCAAGGCAGTATAGTGATTATAGCAATCCCCAGCGTGAATATAGCTCTCCAAACCCCCAAACATGAGCCTAGACTTCATGAAGGGTAAAACGAATTTCAGTTTAATGGTAGCCACAGCTGGCCTTTTATGACAGTCTCCATGCAAGGGGCACTCCCCCCTGGACCTGAGAGATGACTACAGTAAAAACATACACCATTACATTGGCTCTCAGGTCCAGGACACTGCCATACAAAATCAGATAATCCCTCCTCTGTGCCTGGGAGATAATTGGATCAGGAACTGGACTAGTTCGTCACAATAAGAAAGTCCTTTTTATGGAGTGAGGGGGTGTGGCTGAAGAGACACGCTAATGCTCCAGCATTCTACAATTTGTTTTTTTAACCCTCTGACTGGGTATCCCGCATTTCCGTATGCAGCACTTACTGGTATAATTTTAAGCATTCCGCGATTCTCTCGCTTATTTATGTTTCTTTGCAGTGATAGTTATTTTCCCGTTCTCACTAACCCTGCTGGCAAAGAAAAAGAACATTTTTTTTTTTTTTTTTTAACCAAATTTGAGAAAAATATTACGCTGTCAGAGGGTTAATGCAAAAATTCAGCACATGAATGAGGCCAAAAGGTCAAATGCATTAAAGTTCTATTGATGCCACTTTAAGAATGCGCATATGATCTATTATTATACATTAGTTTGCAGAAATACATTTGCAACATGTTAAGAAGTCCTATAAGTCTTCAGAACAGCATTTTATAGTTAATTACTGAAATGAATGTGCAAAACTGTTAAATGTAAAATGTCTGTAAAATATAATGGCAGTATTTAAAGGGACACTCCAAGCACCAAACGAACCTGTTGTGCATTTATAGGTTATGGTCTATTTATGTTCCCTGTAAATATTTTCCTGCACAAGTTGGCTTGTTACTAACAAAAATACTCACACTTCTAATTCCACTCCCTCACTCAAATACGTCAAAGGGACAGTATGCTGCCTTGTGCCTGTTCAAAATCTTGTACGGCATATGATACCTGTTCATTATTTACCAGGGTTTGTGATTTGCCTATATGGTAGGTAAACATTCTATTCTATATCTAAAGGACAAAAATGTTAATATTTTCTTATACAATACCAACAGTAATGATTTGATATGGAGCATTTATGCTAATCATTGTTACATTCATTTCCAACAGATTTGTCTAAAGTCAAGACGACTTCTATAACATTTCAAACTCGTATTTCATCACCATCTAATCTAAACAAAGAAAAAAGTATATCTGAATGTAATTCATCTACAATTTATAATTCAGGCTCAGAGAATTGTGAGAGGGATGTTTCTGACCCATCAGGCCATCTCGTCAAAGACAATTTTACAGATATTGACATTTATACGTCATCAGACCATATACAGACGGAATATCCATCTACTCATCTTAAAGATGATTTATCATCATGTGAAGAAGGAAATCTCACAGACACAGACATGTACACACCCACGGAACACACACAGACAGAATATCTATCTACTCATATTAAAGACGAGTCGTCATCATGTGAAGAAGGAAATCTCACAGGCACTGACATTTACACACCCACAACACAGACAGAATATCCATCTACCCAAATAAAGGAGGAACCAACTTCATGTGAAGAAGAAAATCTCAGAGACATTTATACACAGATAAAAAATACTCCAAAAGTATATACATTTACTATCAATGAGGAATTGACCTCATATGAAAAGGGGAATCTCACAAATATTGACATATATTCTCTCACGGAGCATTCACAGACACATATTAACCAGGAATCATTGTCCAGCGAACAACTGAACATCACAGAGGTGGAATGTCATAAAATCACAGAACACACACCGTTACCTATTGATGTGTATAACAGTACTTCAAAGGATGAAAATAGCATTCTGTCTATAATTCAAGACAATGATGTTAATGCAAATTATAATAATAATTTAATTTATGCTGCACACTTGAGGACAGACAGCATGTATTACTGTCCTGAGGTTTGCTTTACTAGTAATGTGGATTTCAGGAAACATCAAGTTGTTCATAAAGGAAAGAAACTATCTTGTTCTGAATGTGGAAAAAAATTCTCTTTTAAATCGCAGTTGAGTAGACACCAGATAATTCACTCAGGGGAGAAACCCTATTCGTGCATTGACTGTGGGAAATCCTTTGTTCAAAAATGGAACCTTCTTCTACATCAGAGAAGTCACACAGGTGAAAAGCCATTTTCCTGCTCCGAATGCAGGAAATACTTCACTCAGAAGTCAAACCTCATTAGACATCAAAAAACTCACACGGGAGAGAAACCCTTCCAATGCCTGGAGTGCGATAGTCGTTTCATTCACAGATCTGATCTTCTCATACACCAGAGAGCTCACACTGGAGAAAAACCATTTGCTTGCTCTGAATGCGGTAAATGTTTTTCTCAGAAGTCAGTCTTGGTTAATCATCAAAAGATTCACACTGGTGAGAAGCCATTTTCATGTTCTGTGTGCAGGAAAGACTTCCTGCACAAATCAGATCTTAAGATACATCAGCGAATTCATACTGGAGAAAAACCGTTTGCTTGTTCTGTATGTGGGAAACGTTTTAAGGTAAAGTCTCAACTTGTCTCGCATCACAAAGTTCACAGAATAGAGAAACCATTCTCTAGCTCAGAATGTGGTTAATGTCAAACAGGGATGTAGCGGAGCCCTAGTCCTAGCAGGGACTCTTCAAAGTACAATCAGGCACAAGAAAAACACCAAAAGAATATCCCACCTCCTCCCCAGTAACTGGACGATACACATTTCTGGGAGTACAACTGAACTGAGGTTTATTTGTTCACACATAGCTTTTATGCACAGACCCCTACAGGGGTTTTACAACACAATAGGGGTTTCAATCAGAGGGGTAACTAGAAACCACGGGGCCCCTGTGCGAAAATTTCCCCCATACATCTACCTCTAAGCTCATACTTCCCCATCCCCCCCACACGTCCCCGATTTCCCCCCCACACACATACAGACAAACAGATGCACATGCAGACACATACATAGACATGTAGAGAGACACACACGCACTAACAGACACACACATACTCTCACACACACACACACATTCAAACACACTCACAGACACACACATACACTCACACATTCAGACACACACAAATTATTAATATTAAATGTCCACCCAGCCTCCCTGCCTGGAGAGCTGGCATGGATCTGCCCCTGGGGTCCAGTGGGGCTTCAGTGCGGCGGGCGGCTGAGTTCCTGTCAGATGCAGTGAGGGAGCTGTGATCTCTCTGCTCTGCTCCCTCACGCACCATTTGCTGATGCCGGGAGCCGGAATATGACGTCATATTCTGGCTCCCGGCATCAGCAAACGGTGCGCGAGGGAGCAGAGCAGAGAGATCACAGCTCCCTCGCCACGTCTGACAGGAACTCAGCCGACGATGGGGCGGGGGGTCCATGAGGTAGCCAGCAGGCCACCTCATGGCCCCCCCCCCCATGACAGGGGGCGGGATCTACGCGGCTCACGGTCGCAAGGGCTGTGGCCGGGCCCCCTGCAGTGAGGGGCCGCTCGCAGCTGCGACCGTGGTAGGTATGCCACTGGTTTCAAACCCCAAATACTCTGTGTCTGAGAGATAATTGCGTGAGAAAAACTCTTTAATTATCTCTCAGGTACAGAAGAATCTACAATAATTCCAAACACCCCCAAAACACATTTTAATATGTCATTGTTGCACTATATTACATTTTATGTCATTTGTGTAATGCATATATGAACTGGCAGCCTGGTAGAGGTGATATTGTCAATTCCAAAAAGGGTTAATTGGATTGTGTGAGAGATCAGAGCTTACAGCCCAAATTCCTCTTTGAAGCTGTGACCCCCCCTCAGCAAGCCTTGTGTTTCAGTATCCTATCCAAAAGAGACATTAAAAGGACACTATAGGCACTAAACAACTTTAGCTTAATGAAGTAGTTTTGGTGTGTAGATCATATCCCTGCAGTCTCTTTGCTCAATTGTCTACTATTTAGCAGTTAAATCACTTTGTTTATGCAGCCCTAATCACACCTCCCAGTATGTGACTTACACAGCCTTCCTAAACACGTCCTGTAGGAAGTCATCTAATGTTTATACTTCCTTTATTGTAAATTATGTTTAATTTATAATTTCACATCTCCTGCTCTGTTAATGGCTTTCTAGATCCTGCCGGAGCCTCCTGTATGTAATTTAAGTTCAATTTACAGAGCAGGAGAAAAACATGTTTAAAGTAAGTTACATCTGATTGAAAATGAAACCATTTTGTTTACATGCAGGCTCTTTCAGTCACAGCCTTGGGAGGTGCGGCTAGGGCTGCATAAATTGAAACAAGTGATTTAACTCTTAAATGGCAGTAGATAGAGCAGTGAAACTTCAGAGGCATGATCTATACACACAGACTGCTTCATTAAGCTATAGTTGTTTTCGTGACTATAGTGTCCCTTTAGTACCTATCCACAGATTAATACTCAAGCCTCATTTTGATCATGTTTAGAATGGGACAAGCACAGTCTTACAAATAAGTAGTAGTTCTGCCATAGACAGTCTGGGTGCAGGCATGAGGCTCCTGGATCTCCTCCTGACAGTGATTATAGCTCCTGTAGGAGCAGATGAGGAGATCCCCAGCATGGGGACCTGAAAACAATAAGCAGGCAAGCGAGTAGGCACATGTGGGCATGGTACTCAGTGACAGCGTTCCGTCACAAGGGGACTGTGTTAAGTATTTGTTACCTTGGAAAGAAACTTTTCTCTTTGGAATCTAGGAAATGTTTTCACAGACATGTAATCTAATTAATTTAATGATCTACATTTTGAATCAGATAATCTTTCCAGTGATTTAGAATGTATTTAAATAAAGCTTTATATTCAGTTGGAGTATGTGTTATTAATTTTAAACTATCAAACATGTAACAAGTACTTCCTTACATGTCTTCATTCCATGGGGAGGGAACGTTCCAACATCAGTTATACTTTTCCCATTTAGTTCTTATTCATGAAGCATTGGAGTTGTATTCAGCTGTCACTCAAGTGGGCACAGTGTTTGTCATGGTTCTCCAATGACAAGCAGTTGGTAGTTTGTATATTTTCTCCATCGATGAAGCACGTCCATTTTCTCTCTGAATTAATTTAACATGTTGTTGTCCATTGCCATCTTATTTCTTCTAACATGTAGCCTCAGGCTGCTGTAATGGCACACCTAACCAACCATTACTTTCATAACGTGATGAAGACTCTTGTCTTTATCAAGTGCCTAGAGATATATACAGTATAGTTGATTTAAGACACTACTGAAGTATATTCACAAATAAATGCAATCTTTATCATTATATTTGTATATATCTTTTTGCAATGATTCCTAGAAAATATTGGGAAAATTGATTTTTATTTTTTCACCATAAAAATTCATTGATAGTGTGATAATACATCACATCTTCCCATCTTGCCCCTGGGGTTCGAGATGCTGACCATGGTCTTGTAACTCTGCTAGAATTCCTCCATACAAGCTGGTTGCGGAGATACTTCTAATAATAAACATGACCTCAGAATCTGAAAGAGCTTGAAGGTGGCCCTGGGTAAAGATAAAGCTCTTTGTGTGAAGCTGAATATTTTGTGGTTTGTTCATATTTCTCAGTTTTGGTTGCAAATCATGTTTCTGTGTACCCATACCCACCCCTGCCCTGAATGTCCACATTGGATTTGGTGGTGAGATGTGTTATAGGGTGGTTGCCTTTTTCACAGTATCAACTCCTTCAACCCTGTGACGAAATGCCTTTTGTCCCTGGATTGTTAGGTGACAAGCTGCCCTTTGCCCCCGGCTTTTGGAGGAGCCTGATTGCCAGCCTCCTTCCTCGTGACTATGGCCCTGGGGTGTATTGCCATTTAAAAAGACTATTTGGGGCTTATTGGCTTATAAAGACAGTTCTTCCCATTTGAATCCATGGGAAGGTTTGTTTCTTCCCCTCCCCCGTTTCCTGTCTATTGGTCTCCAGCAGGGCGTTGTCCCAGGCACACTGCCAAACCAGTTGGAACTGACTGCTTTTGTCCCTCGGTTTCTCAACAGCCCTTGCTATGTTTTACCCCATGGAAAATCTACTCTGTTCATGGGATCTGAGCGCTGTTCACCTAGATTGGGCGCTCAGATCCGAGCTATCTGGGGATAGGTTAAATGTGGGGGTTCTGTGTAATAAAATAAGAATTATGTATTTTTATGTACTTTTACGTATTTTGCTGTTAGTGTTAAATGTAGATATTTTCTGTACCTGGAGATAATTGAGTTTACTGCAGTGCCTTAAGCCAATTATCTCCAGGATGGAGAGGAGGGATTTCATTGTGTATGTGAGAGTGTTATCATGTTAATTAGTGTTCCCATTGGTTTGTGTCCCTTTTGTCACAGTTTACCACCAGGTCCAGGGGGTGTGCCTCTGACCTGAAAACTTGTATATAAGGAGTAATAAACGCTCATTGGAGTCAGATCATCTTGTACCTTCATGAAGTTTCGGCTCATGTTTGGGGGATTGGAGAAACTACACTCTGGGGATTGCTATAATCACTATACTCCCCAGGGTATAATCACTAAGCTCTGCTAAGAGCTTGTTCCTGTTCCTGCTCTCTGGAATTCGGAGAGAGGTCGACCTGCTGGACGCTGGACCCTGGTCCTGGGTCCAGAGTGGGTGGAGACGGCGAGATCCCAACCAAGCTGCGGCGGTTCGTGGGGTCTGCAGTGGTTATGGTGTCAGGCAGAGTGCTTGGAGTCCTCGGAAAGCACTAGGAGCATCCGTCGGCGGAAGGTACCCGGTCGGGGTGCCAGCGGTTCCGTTACAGTGGTGGCAGCGGTGGGATGGCGTCCTAGTGCGAGGAGAAGCAGCGCAGAGGCACCGGTAACATTTGGAATTACAATTTGAGGGCAACGCTAGTATTCGTACAGCGCCCCTGTTCACAGCAAACATGACCTATCGCTTTGAGGGCGATGCTTACAGGGAGGAGGTCAAGAGGCGGTTAACCAGATATGGCCCGAATCTTTCGAAAGAGGCGATTCTGGCAACCATGCGCAAGTTGGATGAGGAGAATCGAGCGGCATGGGAATTTGAGCTCCGATTGCGGAGATTGGGGCTGTGGCCAATTGATCTCTCTCCCCAGCGACAGACAGCATCCCAGGGCGAGGAGATTGTCGGTCCCTGCAACAACCATTGTAACGGACCGTTTTGCACACAAGGGGTAAAAACCGTTTAGGCGATCGGCCCCCTTTCCAGAGATACAGGCACAGCTACTGCAGAACACCAAAACTCACGAACTGGATACAAAATAGCACTCCAACTCCCGAACTGGAACCTCCCAAGCTGCTAGCAGACGAACAGGAAAAGCAGACAATCAGCTTACACTCCTGGCAATCAGTCTCTAACAGCATACAGTGAATCCCCCCAAGAACGAGACAAGGCTCCGTGTTGAGGGTCAAGCAGTGGTCTGAGGTGCTGGCACACCCAGCCTGGTTTTTATTACAGTGTTTCAAATACAGGACCACCCACAGGGAGGGATAAAACAACCAATCATATCACAGTTACATCCCACATATTCCCTCCCCTTATCCTGAGAGGAAACTCAATTATACAAACAGTTAAAACATACTTTCTACCCAACTTTCATAACTCCAAAACCATACATCACATTCACATAAAATTACATATTCTCAATCAATCCATTCAGGGGAACAACATATTCAAAAATGGCACAAATCAGACAAGGGGTTCAAAAGTTAGTAAAAAGTCCTTTGTGACTAAATGAAGCATGGCTTTCTGGCCCAAACCAGTTTCAGAGTCTTCTATCCTGGAGATAAGTAATTCAATTATCTCCCAGGACAGACACAAGACTCCATTAAGCACATGGTTGCAAAGAGACACAAAACACTTTAAAATACATAAAGTCACATTTATTACATAAAACACAGACATGTAACATATCCCAGATAGCTCAGGTCTGAGCGCACATTATTAAGTGAATGGCGCTCAGACCACACGAATACAGTTTAATCGCCATGGAGCCAAAGTCTTTACAGTCAGTTTCATACGAATGGGCTCCATGGGATTCCTATCTGGGGTATAACACATTCAAACAAATCTACCGAACCCCAGGCAGAAAAGCACGAATACAGCTTTTCTGCAGGCAAAAATAAAGTCTTTTAAAAGGGGGCCATAGTCCAAAGGCAGCAGGCGAGCAACCAGGCTTCTCCAATGCACTGTGGCGAGATTGGTCTCGTCACAACCATCATCACTGGGAGTTGAGACAGTCGCTCTGACTCCCCAGCGGCAGTGTGTTATCAAGGGAGAAGAGACAACCGGTCTCTCTCCCCAGCGGCAGACAGCATCCCAGGGAGAGGAGATTGTCGGTCCCTCGTCCCTGCAGCAACCATCATCACTGGGAGTTGAGACAGTCGCTCTGACTCCCCAGCGGCAGTGGGTTGTCAAGGGAGAGGAGACAACCGGTCTCTCTCCCCAGCGGCAGACAGCATCCCAGGGAGAGGAGATTGTCGGTCCCTCGTCCCTGCAGCAACCATCATCACTGGGAGTCGAGACAGTCGGTCTGACTCCCCAGCGGCAGTGTGTTGACAAGGGAGAAGAGACAACCGGTCTCTCTCCCCAGCGGCAGTGCAAGTTACAGGGAGCCGAAGGTGTCGTCCTTCCTCCCCAGCGGCAGTGGGAATTACAGGGAGCCGAAGGTGTCGTCCTTCCTCCCCAGCAGCAGTGTGAATTACAGGGAGCCGAAGGTGTCGCCCTTCCTCCCCAGCGGCAGTGTGAATTCCAGGGGGCCGAAGGTGTCGTCCTTCCCCCCCAGCAGCAGTGTGTCCTACCGGGAGCAGAGACAGTTGGTCTCTCTCTCCAGCTGCAGGACAATGTTATGGGAGTGGAGACAGGCGGTCTCCCTCTCCAGCGGCAGCCTGTGTTTCAGGGAGAGGAGCACAGCACCCTATCTCCCCAGCGGCAGCTTACCCTACCAAGGGGAGACACCATTCTCCCAGATGGCGCAGAGGGGACCGTGGTCTCCGTGCCTGATCTACAGGGATGCTGGACAGCCTGTCCAGATCCCCAACTACCCTCACAGGAACAACAGGAGGAGGGGGTAAGTACGAATTCCCCTCCCCAGCTAACTCCTAACTTGGCCCCAGGGTTAACAGAGGATATGTTAACCCCCACTGACTCCCATGTTCCCCTGGCTACTGAGCCGGACTATGTTCCCCGCACCCCAGCAGAAGAGCTGACAGCTGGGCAGAGTGCAGTCGGCCTCTGCCCTCCCTGTGTCCCTTTTCCAGAGCCTGATGTCCTGCAGCCTATACCAGCGGAAGAGCTGGCAGCTGGGCAGAGTGCAGTTGGCCTCTGCCCTCCCTTTGACCCTTGTACAGAGCTTGACATTCTGCCGGCTATCCCAGCGCAAGAGCTGACATCAGGGCAGTTCACCGCTGGCCTTTGCCCCCCAAGTACCACCAGCTATTTGCCCAGCTGCACCAGGAAGGCCGAGGATGCTGCATTTTTATCCTACAACCTGGAACCTACCGGCCAGTACTGTTTATTGTGGGGGGGCTACTTTGCCACTTGTTATTTGTGGGTGGACTACTCATGTACTTGTTCACTGTGGGTGGGTTTATCGACTAACTCAGGCACTGACCGACAGGTCAGGTACCTGGTTAGTCTCCCCCCCAAAGGGGAGATGTGTGACGAAATGCCTTTTGTCCCTGGATTGTTAGGTGACAAGCTGCCCTTTGCCCCCGGCTTTTGGAGGAGCCTGATTGCCAGCTTCCTTCCTCATGACTATGGCCCTGGGGTGTATTGCCATTTAAAAAGACTATTTGGGGCTTATTGGCTTCTAAAGACAGTTCTTCCCATTTGAATCCATGGGAAGGTGTGTTTCTTCCCCTCCCCCGTTTCCTGTCTATTGGTCTCCAGCAGGGCGTTGTCCCAGGCACACTGCCAAACCAGTTGGAACTGACTGCTTTTGTCCCTCGGTTTCTCCACAGCCCTTGCTATGTTTTACCCCATGGAAAATCTACTCTGTTCATGGGATCTGATCGCTGTTCACCTAGATTGGGCGCTCAGATACGAGCTATCTGGGGATAGGTTAAATGTGGGGGTTCTGTGTAATAAAATAAGAATTATGTATTTTTATGTACTTTTACGTATTTTGCTGTTAGTGTTAAATGTAGATATTTTCTGTACCTGGAGATAATTGAGTTTACTGCAGTGCCTTAAGCCAATTATCTCCAGGATGGAGAGGAGGGATTTCATTGTGTATGTGAGAGTGTTATCATGTTAATTAGTGTTCCCATTGGTTTGTGTCCCTTTTGTCACAGTTTACCACCAGGTCCAGGGGGTGTGCCTCTGACCTGAAAACTTGTATATAAGGAGTAATAAACGCTCATTGGAGTCAGATCATCTTGTACCTTCATGAAGTTTCGGCTCATGTTTGGGGGATTGGAGAAACTACACTCTGGGGATTGCTATAATCACTATACTCCCCAGGGTATAATCACTAAGCTCTGCTAAGAGCTTGTTCCTGTTCCTGCTCTCTGGAATTCGGAGAGAGGTCGACCTGCTGGAAGCTGGACCCTGGTCCTGGGTCCAGAGTGGGTGGAGACGGCGAGATCCCAACCAAGCTGCGGCGGTTCGTGGGGTCTGCAGTGGTTATGGTGTCAGGCAGAGTGCAGGGGGGGCTCGGAAAGCACTAGGAGCATCCGTCGGCGGAAGGTACCCGGTCGGGGTGCCAGCGGTTCTGTTACAAACCCGTTAAAGCCAGATCACCCAATCAGAGTGTGTAGGGAGGTGTAGTTATCAATTTCAGTGGGTAGGGCTTACAGACTGCCATGGTTTTGGGGGACATATATGATTTTTGCACTCTGTCAGACAGGCATGGACCTATTTCCTACTAGACAGAGTAGGCACCACCATGGTTCTCAGCACTTATAATGTGCCTTTTTGAGTTTAAATAGGCAGGTAGGGAGAGGTAAGTATCAGGAGTCTTTGTCAGTGTTGTTTGTGCTACAGGAATAGGTTTAGAGGGTGTAAAACTTTGTACTGTCCCTGGACAGGAAGAGATCACTTTTCATCTGCCCACTTGTAACTTCTCACACAGGAAATGCCTTGCAGGAGGAGCAGGGGAAGATCTCTGTGATGCACACTATATAACTACTGCTGCTCTAATATAATCAATCATAGAAAACGGACTGGTTTACAGAAGTCATAGACGGGCGAGAACTTTGCAAATAACCCTTCAAACTACAGCACTCAAAGTCTAAACCTGAAAATAAACCCTTTACCTTATTCCTTTGTTTAACTCCACTTAACAAGTAAACTCCTCACATGCCTCAATACAAAATTTAATCCAACTCTAACCTTACCCTAAATAATTCTTAACAGCCTTGATGAGAGAAAAACAAGTAGCACGAGAGGTGAGAACGGACAACAGCTCAATCAGCCTGCCCTTTGGTGGGTCCCCACTCAGATCTCAAGCTGGTCTTAGCTCAACTTGTGCCATTACAGAGAGAACATATCTGAAGCATATCAGACTATTGGGATCTTATTCCCTAAACTGCGAGCATTTGTAGACATAACTCTAAGCTTATCATTTAACACACTTTCTACAGGCACCTTCTGTCCTTTTTGGGGGGGGCAATTGGATTGATGTTTTATCAACCTTTTCCCCCCCTCTCCTAGTTTAAATACATCCTAGCAAAACCTCTGAACTGCTCACTGAGAACATTTGTTCCCTTTTGAGAAAGATGCAAACCATCTTTTTTGTACAGTTTATTTCCATTGCAAACAGAGCTACCATGAGAAATAAAGCCAAATCCTTGCTCCTGACACCATTCACCAAGCCACAAGTTAAAGTCCCTAATACGCATCTGCCTTTCGTTCTGAGTGTTATGAACAGGCAGAACTTTAGAGAAGGACAGTGTGGAAGCAACCTGCCTTAGATCATTGGCAAAAACACAAAAATACTTCCTTTACCTCTGAAACCTCATTGCAAGCCAAGTCATTAGACAATGGACAGGTACATCTAATTCCCCTTCCTGCTTTGCTCGCTTAACAATATTACAAATACATCGGGGAAGCCAAAGATCAGAACAGGCGGCACAAGTTCAGAAGCGATGATACAGGTAAGGGTCAGGATCAGGATGCAACAGGAGAGTCTCTGAAGGTCTTTACACAATCAGGAGCACAGTATAACTGAGTGAAGAGTGAAGGGTGTGTGCGACAAATAGGGAAAGTGGGTGGTCTTGTCAATTGAGGTTCCACTTTAGTCTCCATCTCTTGTACCTTTAAAAGGCTCTGTGTTGGCGCACGTGCACTCTTTGATTCTCCTGAAGTTCTTCGTTCATTGTGGTCGCACATGGAAGCAGCAGCCTTTTCAGCAGCAGCTGACTTCTGTTTTTGCCGTGTTCAGGAGCCAACGTCCGTGCGAACGGAGTTCTGTCTCCAGTGTAGGAGAGTAGCATTCGCATGAACATAGGTCTCGTTCGTACACATGAAGTTCTTCCTTCTGTATCTGGTAAGTGGCGTTCATGTGAACAGAGTCGATACAGTAATTAACTAAATTATCTCCCAAGCAAAGGGGAGAGATTGTATGCCATGTGTGGGAGTGCCTTAGATTGTAACTTTATTGTTATTGGTTTACAAGTTTGTGTCCCGTCCCCAACAAGGTCCATGTGGGCATACCCCTTGCATGGGGATTGTCATAAAAGGCCAGTGTGGCACCATTAAAATTGAATTCCTGCTTTACCCTCAACATAGAGACCTACTATACCTGCTATATCATTAGCTCTTATAAGAGCTTCACAGCTATGCCTACTCTTCACTGCTTGGATTGATGGTTGGGAATACTTTGGTACTCTCTACTCTAGGAGGAAAGGACATCTCTGACGGCGGAAACCCCTCCACTAGTAGGGTGGCCGTTACATACATAAACATCAGTCAAGACTTGAAGGGTACAACATGTTTTATTAGGGCCAAGTTGCTTGTTTATATACACAGACCCATCTCTGTGTCTGGGAGATAAGTGAGTTTGCTTTGGCTTAAACTAATTATCTCCCAGGAACTAGAGGTAGAAAATATGACACAAAACACCCCAAAATACATACATATCAATAGGAACCCCCACAAATTGTATATCCCCATATAGCCTGGATCTGAGCGCCCAAGTTGTCCGTGCCAAATTAGTTCCAGATAAAAGTAGGCAGTGGTCGGTCAACTTTCGGGAGTTCCAATACAAAAAGAAACAATAATATGATCTGTAACATAAACAGCTATCATAGGGCAATATGTTAAAACCAATATATAGTATAAAAAGTAACTTGGAGCACTCACACTTTAGAGAGCCATATAAGTCGGCTCTCTACTGTAAAGGCATGGAGAGTATTTCCGGAAAGAAGCTGTATAAAAGATGGTCCCCCAGAAACTGATATCAAATTTCATCTGGATGCAATCAGGAACCAAAATAAATTTTAAAAGTAAAATACTTTATTGGAAATAAAAACTGAACAGGCACAACGCGTTTCGACCACTCTCTTGGTCTTCCTCAGGTGAAATAATGTTATGTGACAGCAACTTGCTTATATATCAAATACAAAATTAAAACATTCCAAACACATGTATAAAAATACAAAACCCACCCCTCAATACCATATATGGGAGTTCCTGTTTTCCTTCCCTCCCAAAATGGAGTCCTTTTCCCATATAGTCTGTAGAAGTCGACCTTCTCATAATGGCCACGCTATCCGGATGCTTATTGCCGGTCGCGTGACTTCCGGTATTCAGGCCGGTACGTCATTTCCGTTTAACGTAAAGTTTTTACATTTTCCATTATTTTGCCAAGGCCTTTGACACGGTAGACCATGAAATTATTTTGCAGAAATTTAAAAACTCAGGTATTGGTGATTTGCCGCCTGCCTGGTTTTGATTGTATTTATCAGATCAATTGCAACAATGTGACAATTTCTGATAGTGCCTCCCTCCCTCTCCCGGTCACGTGTGGTGTTCCCCAAGGCTCCATATTCAGCCCCCCACTATTCACATTATTTATAAATGATCTGCCTAACATCTGCAAAGCCTTAACTGTACACATGTATGCAGACGACACATGTATGTAATCTACGCTACTAAACCCAATCTACCGGAGCTTGAGGGTGTGCTCCAAGACAAGTTCGCAGAGGTAAACAAGTGGATGGTGGTAAACACACTCTTCCTAAACACTGACAAAACTGTCACAATGATCTTTGGAACTGTACCTAAATTACATAAACTACAAAATCAACAACTGTGTGTGAGAACAAATTTAAATAGCACACTGACCGCAGTCCGTTCTTTCAAATATCTAGGTATGTCTTTAGACCCCAATCTATCTTTTGGCCTTCACATTGAAAAACTCTCTTTAAAATGTTATCCAAAACTAGGTGCCCTGTACAGAAACAAATCCTGCCTAAGCCCTAAAGTAGGTCACTATATATATATATATCTAAGCTCGGACACAATCCGGCTGCATTCTCCGGGCACTCCTTCCGCATAGGAGCCGCCTCAGCAGCCTCAAGCACAAACGCACCGGTCCACATCATCAAAAGGCTCGGGCGATGGAAATCCTCCATATATAACGCATATATTCCGCAACCAGAGAAAGAGCTTCGCCAAGCTTTCAGAAACTTGGTCTTGTAAAATGCAATAAAGTGTGTATTTTCTCGAATTTATCTTTTTGCCCTCTTTTATTTACAGGCCCACTCGTACGTTGGTTTCGGCACACCACAACCAACTTTGCTCACAGTTACTATCCATCACGTATTTAAATTCCGAGCACAAGTAGAAAGGCCATTAGGCCTGAATTTGTGGGAGGAGTAAGTCCCCTACTTAAGCTCCCAGCCCCTACTCACCGCTGCCGCTCAGCTGATTGTCCCCACCCACCTACACCCTGTTTTAACTGCATTATCCTTGGTGGGCCCTCTTTTATTTACAGGCCCACTCGTACGTTGGTTTCGGCACACCACAACCAACTTTGCTCACAGTTACTATCCATCACGTATTTAAATTCCGAGCACAAATATATATATATATATATATAAAAGGTAGAGGCAGAATGTCTGCCTACACTGATTCAATGAGTAAATAACAGGAATACAACCGTGCAGCAAAAGACTCCCATTGTAGTTCCTCCAATGTAATGACCAAAAAAATAAAAATTGGAGTAATGCACAGCTGGTATTTAAAGTGCACACCCAGGTGTTACCATATTTTTTGGAAGGACAAAGTACAAGTTGCAAACGTTTCAGGTGAATGCCCTTTCTCAATGCTAATGTCCTTGATAAAGCATGGATACAAATACACACATATACAGGAAAAGTGCTCACACTAATTGCACTGCCGCCCCTCACATATCAAACAGGAACCAAATCAGCTGTAAAACAGGTTCCATCAACCATCCACCTTACTGAGTGCTTCATCCACTTCCTGGTTCATCAAAAACGTGCGTGATGACGTCAGACGACGCGTCCATAGAGTGTGACGTCATCACGTCTGGTTGCTAGGATACAGGTAGACAAAAGACTGCACTTCCTTCTAGCGCTGACCTCATCACAGGGGGCTCGGTCGCGCTGTTAAAGCGCTGCAGCGCAGACCGGGCCCCTGCAGACTCATTGCTATCGGGTGGCCCTAAGAGCATGGGCCACCCAATGGGCCCCTTCAATGTGTGGCTCGCGGTGGTAGAACGGGTGGGCTTAAGGGGCAGCTGTACTGGGCTGAGTCATTCCTAGGGGGCCCGAAGCAGCTGCCCCTTAAGCCCACCTGTTCTACCACCGCGAGCCACACATTGAAGGGGCCCATTGGGTGGCCCATGCTCTTAGGGCCACCCGATAGCAATGAGTCTGCAGGGGCCCGGTCTGCCCCTTTTGTCCCACGTTAAAGACGGCCCTGGTTTTACCCACATACCCCAAACAGCACGGACACTTTAGGAAGTAAACGACAAATTAAGTTTGACACGTAAAGAACCCTTTCAATTTATTTGATGGCCAGTTCGAGGATCGGTGCAAAATTCACCCTTGATTATCCCGTTGCGGTGGTTACAACTAAGCAGGGATAAGTCCCGTGTACATGAGATACATTGTCTAGCTTCAGTACAGACTGTCAAATTGACTTTTTTCATTAGAACAATCTTTTGTTTACCTGTATCCTAGCAACCGGAAGTGATGACGTCACACTCTATGGACGCGTCGTCTGACGTCATCACGCGCGTTTTTGATGAACCAGAAAGTGGATGAAGCACTCAGTAAGGTGGATGGTCGATGGAACTAGTTTTACAGCTGATTTGGTTCCTGTTTGATATGTGGGCAGGGCCGGACTGGGGATACAAAGCAGCCCTGAAAAAAAAAAAATCTATGCCAGCCCCGCAGCACGGCATGGGGAAAAAAAAAGGTGAGTAAAAACACTATTTTTAAACACACACAGACACACACATACACTATGACAGGCACCTACCCACACCATGACAGACACACACATACCATGACAGGCACACACACACACACCTTGACAAACACACACATACCATGACAGACATGCACACACCTGGAGAGAGACACACATACCTTGACAGACACGCACACACCTTGACAGACGCGCACATACCATGAGAGTCACACACATACCGTGACAGACACACACCCATCATGACACACAGACACACACCATGACAGACAGAAACACATACACTCACACTAACAGACTGACACATAATATAGCTACCTGTAGGCAACTGGCCAGGGAGTCGTGCATGACAGACAGCTAGGTCAGGTGTGCTGGCGGCTGCAGGGGGATCTGCTCCCCATCGTGCATCTTAATGAGACTGCAGCAGGAATATGACGCGCGAGGGCGGGGGAGCAGAGCCAGCACAGCCAGCTCCCCCTGCGGCCGCCAGCACAGACAGCTGTCTGTCCGGCTCCAGGTGCCAACAGCCCACCGGGAAATTTCCTGGTATCCTGGTGGGCCAGTCCGGCCCTGTATGTGGGGGGCAGCACTGCAGTTAGTGTGAGCACTTTTCCTGTATATGTGTGTATTTGTATCCATGCTTTATCAAGGACATTAGTGTTGAGAAAGGGTATTCACCTGAAACGTTTGCAACTTGTACTTTGTCCTTCCAATAAATATTAGCACCTGGGTGTTCACTATTTCTTTTTTGTTTTGGACCTAAAGTAGGTGTAACAAACGCTAATGCCGTTCATTGATTATCGGGATGTAGTGTATGCACCTGCATAAACTTAAAGGGAAACTATAGTGCCAGGAAAACATACTAATTTTCCTGGCACTATAGCTTCCCCCTCCTGTGGCGCTCGTATTAGGATCTCCCCATAGGAAAGTATTATTCACTGCTTTCCGATGGGATATTCCGGTGACGCTGGAAGTTATGTTCAGCGTCGTTTAGCCAACCAGAAGTCCCCTATCCACATGGAAGTCCCTCTAGTGGCTGTCTGGTAGACAGCCACTAGAGGAGGAGTTAACCCTAGCAGGTAATTAGTGCAGTTTATAAAACCTACAATAATTACATGCTATGGGTAAAGGTTGATGGGAGTTTGCACCCAGACCACTTTAATGAGCTGAAGTGGTCTGGGTGCCTACAGTGTCCCTTTAATGTGTTATATAATTTGTTTTGCCGCTTTGTACTAGAATGTAATTACATGACCCACCACTGTGACATGTTAAAAGAGCTCAACTGGCTATCGCTGGAATCCCGACGCACCCTTCATCTTTCCAGCTTTGTGTTTAAGAGCATTTATGGGAAGCTCCCTCCCTACCTGAGTAGAATGCTCTCCCCAACTGTTCCCATCTCCTAAAACCTCCGATCCAGTACTAGCATGATATTTAGCATACCGCAATACAAAAATAAAGTGGTTCGATCCTCCTTTTCCTACAGAGCACCGCAATTATGGAATAACCTCAAGGACACAGTCAAATCTTCATTCAATCTAAAATCCTAAGATGTACGGCAATATACCTCAATACAGAATGCACCTGTCATGGCTGAATATATTTATCACCTGTTATGTATTAAATTTATATATGTGTGTGTGTGTGTATATATATGCTGTATATTGTATTATTTTTTGTAATATTATATTGTATCCTATTGTAACAATGCAGTGTTTGTGAGCCCAGGACATAATTGAAGAAAACATTGAGAAATCACAATGTATCCTTCCTGGTAAAATATTTTATGAATAAATTAAATAAAATTCAATAATTGTGAAAAAAAACCTGATTTGCAAATAAAGCTGCCAATCCAATGCTTTTCCACACGAAATGACTAGACGAAGGTTAACCCAGCATTGAAAACATCACAGTTTCTGCAGAATAGCAATGTTGTCAGCTTCGGGGTTAAAACATGGGAGATGGGAGACATGGCACCCAAACCATCATTGAGATGAAGCGCCCTGGGTTCCAATAGCGTCCCTTTAATCCATCTTCACCCATTGAAGGTTATGCACAGACTGAACTCTGAGAGCATGGAGAGTCCTTATAAAGGCTTCCCCACACTATGTCAGCTAATGCAAAGCATGAGAACACTTCCCACTCCATGCAATATGAGTCACAACGCTCTGACAGCTAAGTCTATAGAGAAGAATCACATGGGATGGGACCTCTCTAGAGCACATGGGATGGGGCCTTTCTAGGGTACAGAGGATGGGGGCTTTATAGGGTACATGGGATAGGGCCTTTCTAGAGCACATGGGATGGGGCCTTTCTAGGGTACAGAGGATGGGGGCTTTATAGGGTACATGGGATAGGGCCTTTCTAGAGCACATGGGAGGGACGCTTTCTAGGGCACATGGGATGGGGGCTTTCTTGGGCACATGGGATGGGGCCTTTCTAGGGCACATGGAATGGGGGGCTTTCTAGGGCGTATGGGATGGGGGCTTTCTAGGGTACATGGGATGGGGGCTTTCTAGGGTACATGGGATGGGGGCTTTATAGGTGTTAAGACACCTCCAGTGTCTTTAGGCAAAACCGCCGTTTAGTAGACCTTCCCCGGCTGCAGTACAGTCTCCGTTCGCTTAATCTGTAATATACGAACCAAATGCAGGGGAAGCGGAAATCTCCCGAACGAGATCCGTGAATTGCTCCAAACTCCTGAACGGCAATACACGAACTGCTGGTAACCGTCGAACAGCAATATTCACCAAGCGGCTTCCGTTCCATCCAGCAGTCTCTAAACGGGAAGAAGAAATCCCCCCAATAACGAGACAGAAGCTCCGCATTGAGGGTCAAACAGGATCTGGCTTTACGCAGGTATTTATGCAGGTCTCCCACTTGGTGGACACTCCCCTAGGGGACCAAATGGGAGACTGGAATTACAGATAGACATGGGGACATTCCAGACATACAGTTACAGATTTTACCCACAGTGCATTATGATTCCCTCCCCTCTGTCCTGGAGTTAATTACCAAGTAACTCAATTAACTCCAGAACAAAGCCAGTCGCCATTTTAAATATAAAATCACAAAAGACATAAAAATATATAACTTTACAAAAACCGAACATTCCCCATTCGTATTACATATCCCCAGATAGCCTGGATCTGAGTGCATATTATTGGCGAATAGCGCTCAGATCCCACACACATAGTTCAATCGCCATGGAGTCAAAGTTCTTACAGTCTTTCTGGGTTAAGTCTTCACAGAAATAGAGCCAAACACCGCTGGGCGTTCGCTTGGTTTTAAAATGGCCGCTGCCTCGTGGTCGACATACGAACGACGACCACCCTGAATTCGGTTTAATTGAGAAGTGTCTGCGGTTAACCACAACGTTCTAATTGGGATCAATAGGTTAACCAGCAGCACACTTCTCTCCTGGGTGGCCGTTCATTCGGCAGTTTTGTTCGGGAAAAAAGAGTCATTCGAATGGCTGGGCTATGGAAACCAGCCATTCATACGAACGGGAGACAAACAGACGAATGCAATTAAAATACAAGCAGACAGATGGTTCTGTCACAATAGGGTACATGGGATAGGGCCTTTCTAGAGCACATGGGAGGGAGGTTTTCTAGGGCACATGGGATGGGGGCTTTCTTGGGCACATGGGATGGGGCCTTTCTAGGGCACATGGAATGGGGGCTTTCTAGGGCCTATGGGATGGGGGCTTTCTAGGGTATATAAGATGGGGCTTTTCTAGGGTACATGGGATGGGGCCTTTCTAGAGTACATGGAATGTGGGCTTTCTAGGTTACATGGGAGAGGGCCTTTGTAGAGCACATGAGAGGGGGGCTTTCTAGGCCGCATGGGATGGGGGCTTTCTAGGGTATATAAGATGGGGCTTTTCTAGGGTACATGGGATGGGGGCTTTCAAGCAACTGTGCAGTAATGGCTGTACAGTTGCTAGGTTTAAACATTTAGGAGACATGTCCCCAATGGCAAGTGGGTGCATAGGAAGGCAAAACATTTTAGTAGTTTTATTGACCCAATAGGACTTTTGATTATTATAAAAGCCATCACATAATTAACCTTTCGATTGCTGGAGATTCGCTCAGTTTGACCAAATTCCGACTGCATTTGGCTTCAGTAAATATGTCGCAATTCAATCATTTTCACTGTTTTTTGTCTATGCAGACAAAATTGGTGTTTAGTGAATAACACCGACTCAGAGTGTGTGGTGACAGCATGAGAGAGAATGTGCGAGAATGAGGGCATGAGATTGAGACAGGGAATTAGTAAGTGTGAATAAGTAGTACAGGTAGGTAGTTCATCCCAAAGTATATCCCACCATAGGTGCTGGTGCCGCAGGTAAGTGTCCTGTTTGTGGGAGAGAGCATGAGCCAGTGTCACTCTGAGAGTGTGAGTGTCTGGAAGAGAGTGCTTGGGAGAGCAGGTGAGAGAGACGGAGAGTAAGTGATTGTATGGAAAAGAGCACATGAGAGACCATGTGAGTGACAGACAGTGTGTGTGAGTGATAGACAGTGAATGTGACTGTCAGAAAGTGAGTGTAAGTGATAGACAGGAAATATGACTGTCAGACAGTGAGTGTGAGTGAGAAACAGTGAATGTGAATGTCAGACAGTTTTTGTGAGTGATAAATCAGTGTGAGTGACAGACAGTGAGCATGAGTGATATGCAGCAAGTGTGAGTGAGATAGACAGTGAATGTCTGTATAACAGACAGACACTGAGAATGAGTAATATGCAGACAGTGACAAAGAGTGGGTTTGAGTGACAGACATTGAGTGTAAGTGATAGAAAGTCAGTGTGAAACAATCAGTGTGAGTAATAGACAGTTGCGTGTGAGTGACTGACAGTATGAGTAACAGTGAGAGCGATTGACAAAGAGTGAATGTGAGTGGTAGACAAACAGTGGATGATATACAGACATTGAGTGTGACAGAGTGAGTGTTATTGACAGACAGTGAGAGTGAGTGACAGACAGTGGGTGAGAGACAGATAGTGAGTGAGTGAGTGAGTGACAGACAGACAGTGAGTGTGAGTGACAGGCAGACAGTGAGTGAGTGTGAGTGACAGGCAGACAGGCAGTGAGTGTGAGTGACAGACAGTGAGTGACAGAGAGTGAGTGACAGGCAGACAGTGAGTGACAGACAGACAGACAGTGAGTGAGTGTGAGAGACAGACAGTGAGTGAGGAAAGAGGCGAACAGTAAGTGTAAGTGATAGACAGTGAGTGTGAGACAATCAGTGTGAGTAATGGACAGATAGTGAGTGTCAATGATACAGTAACAGTGAAAGTGAGTGGTAGACAAAGAGAGGATGAAATACAGACATTGAGTGTAACAGAGTGAGTGTGAAATACTGAGTGTGACTGACAAATAGTGAGTGTGAGTAACAGATACTGATTGTGAGTGAGTGTGAGTGACAGACAGAGAGTGGGTGTGAGTGACAGACAGACAGTGAGTGTGAGAGACAGACAGACAGTGAGTGTGAGAGACAGACAGTGAGTGTGAGAGACAGACAGTGAGTGAGTGTGAGAGACAGACAGTGAGTGAATGTGAGTGACAGACAGTGAGTGAGTGTGAGTGACAGACAGAGAGTGAGTGTGAGAGACAGTGAGTGAGTGTGACAGACAGTGAGTGAGTGTGAGTGACAGACAGAGAGTGAGTGTGAGAGACAGTGAGTGAGTGTGACAGACAGTGAGTGAGTGTGAGAGACAGACAGTGAGTGAATGTGAGTGACAGACAGTGAGTGAGTGTGAGTGACAGACAGTGTGAGAGACAGTGAGTGAGTGTGAGTGACAGAGTGAGTGAGTGACAGAGAGTGAGAGACAGTGAGTGAATGAGTGACAGACAGAGAGTGAGTGACAGACAGAGTGAGTGTGAGTGACAGACAGTGAGTGAGTGTGAGTGACAGACAGTGAGTGAGTGTGAGAGAGACAGTGAGTGTGAGAGAGACAGTGAGTGAGTGTGAGAGACAGACAGTGAGTGAGTGACAGGCAGTGAGTGAGTGTGAGTGACAGGCAGACAGTGAGTTTGAGAGACAGACAGTGAGTGAGTGACAGACAGACAGTGAGTGTGAGTGACAGGCAGACAGTGAGTGTGTGACAGAGAGTGTGAGTGACAGACAGACAGTGAGTGTGAGTGACAGACAGTGAGTGACAGACAGACAGTGAGTGACAGACAGACAGTGAGTGTGAGTGACAGACAGACAGTGAGTGAGTGACAGACAGTGAGTGTGAGTGACAGACAGACAGTGAGTGTGAGTGACAGACAGACAGTGAGTGTGAGTGACAGACAGTGAGTGACAGTGAGTGAGTGACAGACAGACAGTGAGTGTGAGTGACAGACAGACAGTGAGTGTGAGTGACAGACAGACAGTGAGTGTGAGTGACAGGCAGACAGTGAGTGTG